AGGAGTAGGAGCATCAATGAAATTGGGAAATGGTACCAATTCTGTCACATTTTTGGCGGAAAATCTTGGACGCCATAATGACAAAAATCCTAGGCCATGCATGAGTTCGTGTGTCGTCAATAGTACAAATGCTGTCTGATTTTGATTGATTGGAGTTACATCGTCTTCAAACCAATATTCTTGATCGGAGTTAAACTCTGCTTGTATGTCCGAAGGTAAAAACTCCGGATGTGTTGCAAGTCCGAATTGCTTTACTAATGATTGTGGATACAGTCTGACCACTCCATCACCACCCTTCAACCCAATTGATCTGGTTGGTTGTGCGAAACCTAAATAAATAAATGAAAGTTAAAATTTTATAAAATCATAATAATAATAATTGTAATTGTAATTATTATTAGTATTGTTACCTAATGAAGTTGGATCTTGTGATTTAAAAGCGATATCTACGGTGATAGGTTCGCTAAATTTTATAACATCAGAAATAATTTTCCCTGTAGTGTCCAAGTTTTTTGTAACTTTGTCACAAAAGCCTAGTTTTTCTGGAAAATTACAAGTAATATTGAATTTAATCATTTTATCATCTCCAGCTTGATTTTTGACGAATTTTGGCCTTCCTTTAACAAATAAACAGTCAACATTTTTTATTCCATTTTTGTCATGATCGTAACAACTAGTTATAGTTGGTTGTGCTGGTAAGGAGGAAACATTTGTAATATTAGAAAGTGTCAATAATGATAATAATAATAATAATAATAATAATGGTGCTGGAGAATGATTATTCATTTTAAACAAATCGTTAATTAAAAGATAAGTTAAAATTTTTAAAAGGGATTTGATTGAGTGTATTTATATGCGTTAGATGCACGCATTTTATTTGCATATTAATATCAATGTAATTTAGGAAAACCTTAATTGAAAAATTTTTGTGTCAATTGATGATAGATTTCTATTTTTGAATCGAGTGCATTGTTTATATTTGGATGTGTCTTCTATACACATGCGAATCAGAATATTTCGTTCTTTTCATTTGCATAAAGTTTACAAACTTTTTGTTTCGAATTTTTAAGATTAATAAACCATGGGGTAAGCGTGTTTATTTTTATTAAAAAAGATTGCCAATTCTAAATGTTATTATTATTTTACTAAATTTGAAAACAAAAATCTATTAATAAAATGAAAATTGGATGAATATTATAAAAAGTAAAAACTACTATATATATACGCCGCCAAATTTATCTGCATGCTTTTACGGGTGTTGCATTAGCCTGCTTATTTACGTAACACATTATTTGTTTTGAAATTAGCCAATCAAAATGAGGGGTGTGCACTAGTTGATTAATATATAACAATAGTATAATTTTTTACTAAATAAATAAACAAATTTTTGAATCTGTTATGGGGAATCTAAATATATTCTAAACAAAGTTGTTTACGATTAGTGGCAAAAATCTTCTGGCCCTCAACACCTTCCTTTGAGACGTCAACCTAAAAATGACTGTTACGCAAATATGAATTAAAATATGCATATTAATAATAACTTTTTGGGAATAATGAAAGAACATTTGTATGCATTGATGATGATATATTTTTTATCTTTTTTAATTGCTCACAAAAATAGGAGTACTTTCTGTGCAACACATCTTTAGTATCAATACTATCATTCATTAATCCATTCTGCTCTAATTTTTAGTGCAACTGGTTTTTCTTCCTTTTCGTCCAAATGATGTCGCTGCTCCATTACCCATACCAATACATAATTTTCTTCAATTATTAAAAGTTTTTTTTTATGTTAAATGTTAATTAGTAAAAAAAGTCTGAATCTAATTTAACAAAAAGAAAAAAGATGTAATACAAAAAGTGTGATTAGCAAGCATTGTTTATATTAATATACCCCTTTTCCCCCACACTGAAGTTTGACAATCGATTTAAAACTGGTTGCAACCAGTTTCTATTTTTCATCATCTATCAAATTTTTCGTCACAAAAAAAAATACTAAAATGTATATATGAATGTATGTTGCGAGATTGTGTCCAAGTTTCAACCATGTTTTAACGTTTATAATAAAATAATACAATTTCTTCCAATATGTTTTATACTAAATTGCAACAACAATTTACACAAATACAAACTATCTTTCACCATCGTTAAACAATTTCTTGCTAAGCAATACTAAACAATCACACTACGTCCTAACCACGTTTCTTGGTGGGTGCTGTTACTCCTTATTCAAGTCAAGTACATTGCTAAATAAGATTGATTAAATATTACTTCATTAAAGAAAAGAAATAAAAAATAATAATAAAAATCAGAGACAAATATAAAATAAGAGAAAAATTAATTATACATAGATGTAATTATTATGAATTCATTGTCAGAGATAGGCTTATTATCATCATTACGAAAATACACAATTCCAAAACAAGGAAGGACAAATAAACAAGGACGAGATTAAGGTTAAGGACGGTTGGTCATTAATTAACTATCGATTTTCTATTTTTCAAAGAAAATCACAATATTATTTGTATATATATGATAAAGGTTCAATCTAGTTTCCCAATTTCTAAATTCTTGATTTGATTTAATTAAAGTATTCCGTAAAATTAAACAAACCTTTATTTTGAAGGAAATGTTACTCTCTTGATAATTCCCGTGAGTTTGATAATTGTTTATCAAATTCTTGAATGGGATTTTCCGTGTTGTTGGCCCTGAAACATAAACTGCCGAATCCTTAATTGATGATATAATTTACCCGATCATGTATATAGTAATTGTATTTAGCAATAGAAAAACTTAGCTCCTTGGGAACAACTGATGAAACAAAGGAAGATTGGAATACACAAAAAAAATAAAAATAAGTCCTTGGAATATATACTTGCAAGTCTTTTTGTGATCTTTTATATTTTGTTAACCTTTAAAGCAATTTTACTTGCATCATTTTTGACTTAATGGCAACGAATTTGATGTAATAATTTTACAACTTTGATAATATTTCATTAGTAGAGGCTGTACGGGAAATCATGTCCACGATCAAAGGTCCATCACGAAAAAGAAAATACAAAGTATCCATGAAAACAAAATTAAAGATACCTAAACTAGCGAACCTAGCAATTGAAAACGCTGTCAACAATGACGAGTGCAGTACTCGATCTCAGATAACAACAACAACATTCTTTAATTGTTGCGATTCGGTTTGTTATTTTTTTATGTGCAATTTTTATTAAAAAATAAAACAAAATAAAATTAATGTAATTATTTTCTTTGTTTTTTTATATTAATAAAAAATCTCGTGACGGGTTTTCATGCAATTGAGATGATGGAGAGAGGAAAACGACCTCAAGTCATTTTTCACATTGTCAATTACCTAAACCTCTGAACCTTGCAATTATAAATAAACAATAAATATAAATATGATAAATCCGCTGGATTATTCAAAAAAAAACAAAAAAATTAATCATTACAAAAACATCCTTTTCATGCTCACCAAGTGTTAAATCTTGAGTCTTTGCAAGATGATGAAAGTGTTTTTGAACCTCCTCCCAAATCTGACCCAGTTGCTCCACTTAATGATATGCAGACTGCCCCCTTGCTTAAACAAACCTACAATCTATTCCCATTTGGACGCCTTACCTAGAGTATCTGTCTGCTAAGATCAACAAATCTCTGCTCCAGACAAATTTATGTCGCTCATTGAGACGATCAATTCTCTTTCAAAAGAAGCAATTATGTTAGTCAATTAATAGTTAGAGTAGGTACATTCCAGAAAAACCATTATAGTGGCAATCATCTAAAGACATCATCAAATGTTGCCAATCTTTAAGTGCTGATACTTTATTAAATATGGGTTATTTTACCAAAAACTCTCTATTTTTGCAATATTCTAGACATGAAAAATAATGTAATAGAAATTTTTTTTGAGTTATTTAATTAAAAAAAAAGTTATAATGGTTTAAAGTTGGGTAACTTTGCTATTTTATTTGAAATT